TAATTTTTTCATTTTAATTTAATTTAATTTTAATTTATTTAAATTTAAATTTATTTAAAATGAATACCCTACACAAGGCAAGCGCACTCTTTTCCTGAAGTGCAGCACATCATCTCTCGGCGGTCCAATTTTTGGCTTCAGTAGAGCGCATCTTTCCTCGTTACCACTGTCGTCTTGCCATAGAATGGCTGCCTCCTTCTGCTCATCTCTGACCACTTTCATCGGTTCTGTCCAGCTGAGAGCATCAGTCAGGAACTTGGACTGAGCGAGTGCTAAAATTGTCCTAATGTCCGTCTTTGTTTAAGGCCGACAATAATTATCTACTATTGAGACATTAAGCTATCCAACTTTCCTGAAACTTTGGTCTACATTGTGGCCAAAATAGTTTTCGTTTGCTCAACATTAGGGAAAAGCTTACTGTTCCGCTCATATAATCACTTGATTAATCGTCTTCAAAGAAAACCAAGAAAACAGAGACAAACACTGCCTTCTAGAAGGTTCATTGAGTTAAAGTTACCTGCCTATGCTAACGCCTTTGATTAAAAAAAAACCAGTGAGCTATCCCGAGCATTTTCAATTAATCTCATTCCTACAGCACTGCAAAATGCATGGCACTACTAACCAAATGCCTAATCTTTCACAGTTTTTCTAACACTCTTACGTTACGTTGTAACACACCATGTACAACGCAAAAATAACCTAGGTGAAAACGCATCAGAACCACCTCACAACAATTGCATTGGCTTTCTGCAAAAATCTTGCACCAATGGTTCTCAATTCTCATAGCGCATAACGATAACTGTACCATGTCGTGCCAATCATTTTATGAAATCAATGGGTCCATGCTAACATCTTCCTCAAATGCTCATTCACGCCGCATCCACATGACAGTGACAGCATAGAACATTACACTAAACCTACAAAACACTAGAAAAATGACACATTTCTCTCGGTGTTTAATTTATGCACACTTTTGCGGTAATGATTAAATCACTTCGATGCTAACTTTCAGCCTTTAGTTCGGCGGTTTTCCTTACACCACTTTTCGTAACCTATACAAAATCAAAACGACTGAAATCTGCATCTACAAAGTAACACTGAGTAAACATATGTAGGACACGCGTGCAAAAGTTACTCAAACTGACCGTGCCCCTTTTCTCAACTAGATTCTTTTGAAGCGTACATGATGGGGTCCCGGTCCCGGCACTTTTCAAGCACGTCGGATGCCACAAATTGCACAAACACTAGGCTGTGTCCTGCTGTCCCGCCTCATTCTGCACTTCAGCCGGCTCTCCACAGGAATTTAAAAGGCGCACCAGAAACAGGGGGAAGCCTGGGCCATTGTGTCTGTGTTCACCCCTACGCGGTATTTAGCCACTCTGCCCTTTCGACTTGCACCTTTCGGATAAGGCCGCTTTCCCGAAGTCCTCGAACTGAACCCCGCGCTTTATTGGGGTGGCGTACCTCGTTTTCCCCCCTCTACACCTGTCTAGCCGCTTGCACCTCAATGAACGCCCCCATTGAGGTTTCCTGAAACAGACTGAAGGCCTACCCTTTCATCTTTCTCGCGACGGGGTGGGACCTGTCCGAGGCTTAGGCGGTGCCGAACACTTCCGCTTCTTTCTTTTTCTGCGATGCTTGCAAACCAGCTCGATAGTACCACTGCACTGCTGAAGCGTGGCGTTCTTGCTCTCATCAGCCACTGCGCTAACTATGCCTACATTTGACGATGTCGAAAGGTTCTCTTGAGGCACGAAGAAAGTTTCCAGCTCCTTACTGAGCCCATTAGAGCTGCTGGCGCTCTCTTCATCCACGCAAGGAGAGTCTTTCGACATCGTCCTTACCTCCAGACCGGCCAAGGCCTCGTTCTCAGCATACTCTACCTTGATGGATTTTCGAATAAGCAGGCCCTTCTCTGGCGCGACGTGTTCCTCTCGCGCTTTGTGAGGCACCTCAACTTCCGGTGCTCTGCGACGCGCCTCGCTTTCAGACTCTGGTCCGAGTTTTTCTTTCTTTTTGCTAACAAAAGTTCCAAATCTCCTGATTAGCTCTGCTTTAACAACTTCGTAGCTGATCGCGTTCTGCTCACCGAATCGCGCAACAACATTTGCTGCCTCGCAGGGCAGAACCGTCAGTAGCTTCTGAGATCAGGTGTCTCGCTCACACGACAGTTGCCTACACTTTCGTTCCGAGAGTCTAAGATACAGGCCCAAAACCCATGATACTTCATATGGCTGCATGTACCTAGACATCTCGAACTCTGCCTCATTGTCGAGAAGAAGTACTCCTCGCTGGGGTCTCAACCTCTTACTCAACTCATTATCTTGTTCAAAAAACTTTATCCTGAGGTCTGGTCTTTCGTCTTATCTTTTTTCTTCCATCTGAGCTGCTCCTAACTTTCTTTCAATGATGAGATCCCATTCTTCGCTGAGTTTCTCATCATCAGCCCCCAAAACATTAATAGCTTGAATGATTATGGTTTTTCGTGCCAAACCCTTTGTATCAATCCCAATTCCTCACACAACAGCAACAAGTCTGACTTCTGCAGCTCCCGTAAGTCCATGATCGTACTGAGTACTCACTACTTCCAAAAATCACTTCCTGAAACGGCCAAACTGAGTGTTTCGGCAAAGTTAACTATTAGCACTAAAATTGACCCTCCTTTAGAACCTGGTTCTCTCAAAGGAAAAGCCAAGCACTCACCCATATGTGATCCATGTCTAGAGTCAGCTGGTTCCCGTGGACAGATTGTTGTCACTTGTAGCTTCATAGCCCACCGCTGATCACCAGTTGTTGCAGACCAGGATCTACCAGGCGCTTCCCCGCTCACGTGTGTTGCCGGAATGTCAGGGTTACGTCGGACCCAGTCTCCTGTGGTAGCGTGGCGTAACTTCGGGTGGAGGGAAAGAATGCTGACAAGATGGGGTTTCGGAAAACAGATTTATGGCACTATTTACACTTATTTACAACATAGAGAGGTTAGGAGTTTTACAAACCACGAGCGTGGTGGTTGAACCGTTACATGGTTCAGAGCCCCGTCCAGCACTTTGCAGTGTCGTTATAAACCCTGTCAGGCTCCTCTTTTTAGGTTCCTCGATTGGAACGCTAATCACACATACAAGACACCGCCCACAGGGCATCAGTCAGTAAAACACTGTCCTCCGAATAGTTATTGCATCTCCCAACGCAACACTCTGAGGAGAGGGGAAATGGGGTTCCTTTCAGGAACAATTTGGAGGTTGGGTTGCTTCAGTCTTTCTCAGGAAGGGCAGCCAAGTGGTAGATACTTGAATCGCGGAGACACGACCTGCGCGGTCGGTCTGCTTCGACGTTTCGCTGAAGAAAACCAGCCCGGAGGAATCGCTTGTAGGAACATTGGCTCCAGACCATCTTCTAATTCCTTTGTCGCTCCTCGCCGCTGGACGCTGGTTAGGAGCGCTGTCCGGCTACGTTTCTCAGTGACAGCATGGCGCCTACTGACAAGGGTCATAACAGCCTCAACCAAATGATTGGAGCTAGTTTGTGTGATCAGCGTTGGTGGTTTCACTTGGCCTGTATGCAGCATCACTAACTTTTAGATGCGAAGCAGCTCTGACTAGCCTGCATAACGCTGTCCCTCCCCTGGTCGCAGGTGTTGGAGCAGTGCCAAGTAGCTCACGCCCTTTTAGCAGTGCGTAGCGAAGTCTGTCTCTTGGCTGCCGCGCGCTCGCCGCAAGTCAGCTTTCTCTCACTTCACCCTCTCCACTGCTCAAGTCTACACCGATTGCGTTTGAAAATACAAACGGCGCGTGGGTAACACCGACAAGACGAGAGTTAAGGAAGCCAAGCGCAAGAGTCTTCAACGCGTCTCGTCTCTGGTGTCTTTGCGTTCTTGAGCAAACCGTGCTTCCAGCACCCGCCACGACGACAGTTTCAACCAGGTCGACGCCGTGCGCACCGTTGCTGCTTCGCATCCCATCAGGGTTCCCTTTGGGGAGATGGTCCATAGTTTTTTAAAGAAAGTACACAAGCTACTTGTGAGCTTCTAATGAGTAATTTACTACAATATACTACTGTCAAAGGGGACACCTCTAAGCTCAGGACGTTTAGATTTCGCTCTCTTACAGAAGAACACTGGCTTATATTTGCACAAGTTCACAGTTCTGACTCATGTTGACACTAGTGACGTGCATGGAGATTGTTTTCACTGGATGTTAGAGGGCCAGCGATATAGACAGCATTCATACAAATCTTGCCCGTAACAGTGGACAGTACTGTACATCACAAAAACGAGAAAAAATTGAGAGAGGGGGCTGCTGCACTCAGTGGGAGACAGCCATGACGCAGAAGCAGACAATGATGGCGTTGTCTCATATGTGAATGAAAACTGCATCAGTTTTCGCTATGAAGCAGACTGTATCACGGACAGCTGATTGTGTCCGTTCTGTAGCTGTAACACGCTGCGTATCCCAGACCCCACAGTTGTTTTGAAATGTTCATCAGAGTCGCCACTGGATGCTATTGGGCAGTTGTACAAGAGTCAGCAACTTTTCTACACATTGGCAAAAAGAAAGGAAAGGCTCTGCGGTAGGCACTTTAGGCAATACTTACCATGGCCCTGAGTTTCTTCCTTTGCTGGCGGTAGTCATGTCAGAAGTTCAAATATGTAGCTGGTGATTAATGCGTAGTTATGCCACCGTTTATGGCTGGTACGTATTAACGGGGTTTCACTGAAATAGTTTTCAACTGTTTTTATAACTACCATTAGAATTCATATGGCATTGCCACCTTGTCCAATTTTTCTCCTCATCGGCTCTATGGCCATGTTATTCCCATGGTGACGTTCGGTAGGAAAAGCGGATAGTTCCACACACTATCGCCATTCCACACAAACAATTGTCTTGCTTAAAAAAGTTTTGCCTGGTGCTCCTAGCAGTAAGCTGTTCCGATAAGCAACCTGCTCTCTATTGGAACTGTTGGCATTATGCGTGCAAACTTTTGAGCAAACTAGGCAAGCTCACCAGCAACGCGGATGTGTTGCAGGCGCGGCATGAGCTCACAGTCGAAGCAGCACATGGTGTCACCCGTGAGGAAGCGGTAGCCCCCCTTGCGCAAATGGGCGTCGATGTTGCTGAGCTGGTTGAGCAGAGACTTCTTGGACTGCTCATCCCGGCGGGTCAGCATCAGCTTGAATTTCTGTGCAAGGCAAGCATTTCTGTGTTCTTAATCCTACCAGACCACAGAGATATAATCCTGCTAACATACACTCTCGAATAGGTCAAATTGTTTGCACTATTATGGTGAGAAAAGAAAGTACAAACTATAATGCACTAAACTGACAAAAAAAATTCTTTGAACTTGCGCAAGCAAAGAAAGTAATGCCCCTTCAGATCAAAACGGTACGAAGACGGTTGACTTTAATGCGAATCGAACAGCTAGTGACTGCAAAAAACAAAACAGAGATGCTTAAATTACCAACGACATGTTCACAGTAACAATTTTAGGTCTACATCAGCAAAGCTTGGGCAAGATCATGGCAAAAGCAAGATAATGATTTACTCACTAATCCTACAGATGTTGCATGCACGTTCAACTTTTTGCTTATATTCGCAAGCATTAAAGACAACTCTCATATCGGGCCCGAAACCACAATCCCTTTATCCCTTCTCAACTGATCCAAGCAAAGTTCGTGACACGATCATGAATCTCAAGAACTGTAGTCCTGGTTTTGCTGCCACCATATCAAAGACACCGTTGACAATTTAACCAATGCCTTTTGTCACATTGTCAATTTAACTTTTTAAGCATCAGTGTTTCCTGATCATGTGAAGAGATCAAAAATAATTTTAGTAGATGCCAACTCCTTAGCACACTACAGGTCTATATCTATTTTGCCCTGTATTAATAAGGCTTATATCTATTTCGCCCAGTATTAATAAAGTTGTTAAAAACTTATTAAAAATGCCTTTCTAGTTATTTGAATAAGTATAAACTTAACACCAAGACAACTCGGTTTCCGTCGCAGATATTCCGCTGACTTTGCTTTCATCACAGACTCACAATATTATAGCAGTGATTGAACAAGGCAGGTACGTTGGATCTGTTTTTATCAATTACTCAAAAACATTGGATTCCCTATATCACAGCGTTCTCTTTTCTGTACTCGACGCTTATGGCATAACAGGTCCTTTTTTCGAGTTCCTGCACAGTTACACGATCGATAACAACAGGTTTGCATTCCAGGAATATTGTCCAACACACAAATAATTAACACTAGGGTTCCACAAGGGCCCATACTCCGACTGCTGTTATTGCTCACATATATATAAATTATTTTCCGAACTGCCTCCCTTTCCTGCCATGTCTTCTGTATGTGGTTGACACTACTCTTTACACTTCTGATAACGACGAATGTACTGACACACATATTGAGAAATGCACTAAAAAGTATTATTTGTGCAAGAAAATTAGTTGCTCATGAACCCACAGAAGACTAAATACATGGTTTTCAGTTTTCACAATAAACCTCAATCTAACATTGCTCCATTGTATATTGAATCCCGCCCCATGTCAGCATCTGACGAATTTCTATTTCTAGGTATTCAACTTGATTCATTGATGTTTCACAGCCACAGTTGCATGCGGGAACAACTTTGCCTGCCTTCAATTTTACGTTGTTCCCCAAGGCATGGCATTACCGGGACTAAATGCTGTGCACCAGTTACAGTTCCGAATCATTGGTTCTACACTGGAGTGCGTACAACTGACTGCCAGTCCTCACACGCTTCCTCCAGAATTGTGCGAGCTTTACTTTCTTTTCATTGACAAGTTGGGACTCGCGATAAATTTTGTACTTTCTATGAACCTGCACACAGGCGCAAAACCAGTAGCAGCGAAGGCTCGACGTTTGGCCTTGACGCTGCGAGATAACGTAGCGGCTGAACTGACAAGATCATTAAATGCAGGCATTATAGAAAGAGTTAGTGCTGCAGAATGGGCGTCTCCTATAGTGGTTGTGGAGGACAATATTGAACTATTTACGTGAGTCAAACAAAGCAGTCAGTAATTAATGGATTCTCTTTGCCGTACACTGAGGCACACGTAACCTCGCTTGCACATGATGTTCTTTGACTATAGGTGTCAGGTGTCCTCCAGCCCAGATACCGAAGAGAGCAGGGAAGGAATTAGGCTTGCGATGGCTACATGGGGCGAGAGCCAGAGGCTTCAGGCTTGCCTCTTCTCATCAAGGTTTCGTGACTCGTTGTGAAACGATTTGGAAAATCAACATAGTAAGAGTGCTCTTTATTGGGCCCACAAGAACTTCTAGTGTCTAACTACAACTTTTTACATGGCCAGGAGAGGGGTCCTTGAAGAAGTGAATTAAAAATAAAACAAGATCCGCGTGTTTATCACATTTTCAAACGGGAAGGTGCTGCAGCAGAGGCGTTCAAATGTCAAGGAAAATATGTTTTCATTGACAAAACACACTTGTTCTCTTGATAAGCCATTTCATTTCCTCGTGGAATTAACAAAAAGAAATAAGCATAAAATTGGATCTGGTAAGATATTCTAAAATTAAAACAGTGACAATTGCGTGAAGAGACAATGAGGACTATGTAGGTACATTTATTCTCGAATGTGAGTTTTACCATGAAATGATTGACATAGGAGCTTCAACTGCCGTTGAACTAAGATGGGAATTACTATGATCACATCAAATATTCTTTCATAATGATGAGGCTGTCATTTTTTTTTAGTAGTGGCTTAGGACAAACCTTGAAGCTCTGTTCTGCATATTTTTCATGTTGAAGACATATGCGAAGGGACTCCATACTGCACAATGTATTCAAGCATATGACAAAAGTATGCTGAATACACCGCTGATTGTAAACATTTCCATGCATGTCTCAGGTTTTGCTGTATAAAACTTACCGACTTCGCAGCCTTCGCAACCACTGAATCAACATAAGCATACGACAATGGCCCTTCACGGTTTCGCATTCATTCACCTAGCCGCACCTACACAGAGAAACCTGCTGCTCTTTTCCACCGCTACACCCAGGTTTTCAGGGCGATTCGTCAGTTCCTTGGGGGCACCAGACAGCTGTATGTAGAAGACAAACACCGCATGCTCGGCCATAGACGCCACTTATTTCCTTATCCAATCACATTCCCTCACCTCGTTTCCCTGCAGGCACCGAGACGCACTTCCATTTCGTGCCGCAGAAATAGCATCTTTTGCACTCCTCATTCTCGTCCAACAACTCGCATGGTGCTGTGACGTATGGTGACCACTAAGTCTCATTTCACTGTGGTTTGCGGTTGTTTTTCGAAAGTTAGCAGAACTAGAGGATTTCGTTGAACCTTATAGTGTTTGGAAAGGTCAATGATGCCTGTTTACATGAGTAACTGTTTCGAACCGCGCTCGAAAGCAAAATTCGGGTTGATATAGCCCTCATTATATCATAATTACTCTATTTTAAGGCGCACCTTTTTTCCGGTTAAGCGAGTTCATAAATCGCATGCGCGTTAAAATCGAGTACGAAAAAAGAAAAATTTAATACGGTCAATTTATTGCCATTGGCACTTTCAAAATGGCCGCCCCCTAAGTACGTCGGCATGGCGCGTCAGCCATTTCTGCCTATGCGTTTCCCATGTGCGGCACTTCGTACGTGTGCTGAGGAGTTCGTCATCTTGTAGTGCATTAGCATCGACGGCAGGGTAGGGCAGACTCCAAAAACTCGACGAGTGCACCACAATGCCGCTTTTAAAAGAAAAGCCATCGCAAGTGCCGAAACAGACGAAAATCGGGCCGCATCGCGGTCGTTCGGAGTTCCCGAAACGTGCGTGCGAGACTGGTGGAAACAAAACCAGAATATTGTCGACAGCAAAGATTCACGCAAAGGCTTCAGAGGACCACAGCAGGGTCGGTTTCCAGAAACTGAAGAGCTACTCGGCGAGTATGTGATTAAGCAGTGAGCGGCACAGCGGCCCGTGACGACAGAACTGCTCCAAGTGCAGGCTATGCAGTTAGCCTTAGAAAAAGGGCTAATGCGGAGCCAGTTTAAAGCGAGCAGGTGCTGGCTAACTAACTTTATGAAGAGGAAAGGCTTTTCCCTCCAAAAGCGAACGGGCATATGCCGGAAGTTGCCGGAGGAGTACGAAAAAGAGCTTCACAGTCTTCAGATGTTCGTCCTAAACTTGCGGCACAACAACGGCTACCTGCTTGGGCAAATCGGGAATGCCGATCAGACGCCTCCTTAATTCGACCTGCCTGGAACCACAACCGTCGAGGAGAAGGGGGCGAAGCAAGTTTGTGTGCTGACATCAGGCCACGGTAAAACTAGAGCGACAGCAATGATTCGTTGCACGTCAGATAGGCACAAGCTTCCCCCGTACCTCATATTTAAACGGAAGACGCTCTCTAAAGGAGTCGTTTTCCTGAGTGGTGTGATCGTGCTGGCCAACGAGAAAAGTGGGTGCGCGTTGCAACCGATGTCTTAGTTATTTTTTTTTTTTCGTCGGGGAAACCGGGCACGCGTTACAATCGAGGTCGCGGTAGAATCGAGTAAATACGGTAGGCGCTTTTGAAAAGCAGGCATTTATCGGCCCCTATAGGCATTTAGAATACCTGCCAAGTTCAAGGATTCTGAATTTGTGAGATTTACGCAACGAGGTAGAGAGATCGCTGAATTATTTGCCCCTATTTTTTTCGGCACAAAAAAAAAAAGAAAAAACGAAGGAAAAAACACCAAAAAACAAAAGGGGGTGGGGTGGGGTTGGTCTCAACGCAAGCCCCAACATCAGCGTTGCGGCCTTATAGTGGCTTGGAGAGGCCGAACACACGAGGGTAAGGTTTCATACTAAGGCGAGTCTCAAAGTATGAACACAACTAGCAGTATCTATTTCCGTCAAAACAAAGGGCGTATGTCTTCCTTGGTTAGATGCTTGAGCGAGCACGCTTACTTTTCGGTATGCATTTTGGTATGCTTACTTTTTGGTATGCTTTTTGGTATCGCAGGTATGTACTAACCCCAAAAATAGGCCTTTTAAGACATCATAAAAACACTACAAAGGCCCTTTTAAAACTAATTCATGCTCAGATATCAAAGTAGCATGATAGGAACACAAGGAAAAAAAATAGGCATTTGCCAATAATCCGGTCTCTACTAATAACCGTCGGGAGGCATTGCATC